AATTGGATACTTATTTGGAAAATGTCGGCCAACGAGCACTCTTTTCTTTTAAGATAAGTTTGACGGAAAAGTATTTTTAACTTTATTCGGCAAAAAATAGATAAAATTGAAAAGGCAGAATAAGTTTAAAATTGTGAAAAAAATAAAAATATTGATAAGGGAATGTTCGAGTTATTATCAAAATTGTGAAAAAAGGAAATAGATTCGAAATTAAAAAAAATGGAAAATGTGAAAAAAGAAACAACTTCGAAAATATAAATGTGAATTTACATCTAAACTGCATTAACTTTGAAATTAAAAAGAAAATCAAGGTCTTAATCATTAAAATGAGTTTTGGTCAGTTTTTTTTTTATCCTAATAGGTGTAACTCATGGTTTTTCTTTAGGTAATTAATGATTAATTTCTCTCGATGTTAGTTTAATTTTTTACATAAAAGTTGTTATTCATTGTTCATTCATAAATTATAGTTGTTATAAACAATAATATTTTCAGGTGAAACAGCACACATAAATAATAAAGAAAATAAAAATATTTTTGCCCGTATGGTGCTTATTGGTTGCATAATCATATCATTGGATCTCATTTAAAAAATGTAATTACATGTGACTCTCTCCGTTCTCTCCAAATGAATTCGTCAGATAATTTAGTAGTGTCATCAAAAGCGTAGCTTTTGAATTAATCCCGTATGCTATCTATTTCACTATATTAGTTTACCACTGACACATCCAAAAAATAAACTTTGTAATTTGTTTTCGCCTTTATGTACGAGAAACTAATCACTTGCAAATCAATGAATAATTTTTGTATGTTGAAGCTTTTAAGACAAATTAAAACTGTTAATATTTCGGAAGTGTCGAACCTTTGTAAGCATTTTTAAGCGCAAGTACTGCCTGATGGAAGATTCTCACTGAAGAACTTTCATAACATAAATATTTTATAACAAAATATAGCTTTCAAATTGACGCCATCCATATTATTTAAATTTTAAAACTTTTTACTATGTTTTGTTTTTGTTCAGAAAGAAATTTAAACCACATCAATCACGAGCTACGTTTGCCACAGCTGCTGGAAGATCTTAAACGTATTATGGGCTCTATTTTTCTAATTTTCTTAAGTTCTAATTTTCAACAGAACTCGCTATAAAATAAAGTGTGTAAACCAAAGCGGATCTCTCAAGGTCTTTTGGGGTTATAGCCTCTGTACTTATTATTTAAGGTCATTTATTCTATGGGCATGATAAAGACTCTTGATCTTTTTCTTTACGCTAAAACTAAAAAATTTTTAGTTTATGGAAAAACGAGTGAGAAATAAGTATTTATATCGGACTAAGTCCAAAAAAGTGGTGCACACGGAGTATTTTACCTCATATATTCTTTAGGAACATATATCTTAGATTTAAAACAAAAATTTTTACATTTTTTGTTGAAGAGGAAACACTGCCCCCTTCCGTAAAAGGAGCTTGTATACATTTTTTTACATTTAATAGTAGTCTCAACACTTTGCGCAAAAACCTGTGTTTTAAAGGAATTTTGAGATTCAGCTTATTTATTTTTTGCCTAATTTACAAAAAAAACATTTAGCGAAGAGAATCTAATAAAGGTAAGAGCTCAATTTTTTCACTTTAACTATAATTTATAATTCACTATAATTTTTAACTATAAAATATGCTTTATGAATGTCTGTATCGCAATCAGGTTTTCAGATATTTGATAACTATTTAGAATTTCAAAATTTGTCAAAAAAAATGTAAAAATAAAAAATATACTTTGAAATAACTCGTATTTACCCATCTTTTTAGTCTTTACACATGTTAATAAATAAAAATAACAACATAATTTTTACCAGGGTCGGCTCGTGGCATAAGCAAACTAGGCATTTGCCTAGGACGCCAAAATCTCCAAGGGCACCAAAAATATAAAATGAATATCAAAATATTATCATTTTTTTTTTTTTTTATATATAATTTGTTTGCCTTCATTAAAAGAAATTAAAATTACAGAATAGCTTTATTACAAATATAATTGGCAGGACTTCCAGAAGATCATACGATCTTATCATGAAGCCCTTTACAATATCAAATAAAATAATAATAACAAAAAAATCAGATTAAGCAATAAAAATCAACATAAACTATATATAACTGTGCATTTAAAGTATAAATATACTGGATAAGTTATATGAAATATGTGAAGCAAAAAAAACTAAAAACAAGAAAAAATGTTTTTCTGCTGAAAAGATAACTTATATGTATTGCTATTATTCTTTATGTATTTTATATGTACAATTTTATATGTATTTTATATATATTGCTATTATTTTATTTATTTAAATTAATTTAATCCATAATTATCAATACATCAGTGCAACATTAACAGTGCAACATCGCAACATAAAATTAACATTTTTAATAAAAATGTACTTGTTGTTTGATATGATTTTAACTGATATTTGTAAAAATTAATAAGAAAATCAAAAAACAAGCTGAGTTATTTAACTTTAAGTGTGGAATATGGGAAATCTACGGTATGTAACAAGACCCATTCCTCGATATAAGTGAAGCGGAGAAACAACTTGAGAAGACAAAAAAGTTCCTCCAAAAATACCGATCTGACAGTGGATTCAAGGAGGTGGGAGGGGGGGATAATGTACCCAGAAGTTCTAATGTTCATCGATAAATCCAAGTTGCAAAGTATTGGATATTTAATTGGATGGATGATGCAGCTGTGTGAGATATTCGGTGAGACTTGGTTCTAATATTTTCTCATATAATGATGCAAGCAAAATAATGGTGCAGAAAATATCCGACTACTGGATATCATAGAATGTCTATCCACTGTGTGAACAAAACAAAGCAAAGAAAATAAGAGACGAATAACAATTTTTCATGACTTAGGTTGAACAACAATAAAATTCAAGTTACAAGAAAACAAATTAATGGATACAGAAAGCTTAAAATTTCAACATGCATATGACAAGCAGAGCCTATGACATTAGAACAAATGCATACTAATAGATATTGGGTAAGTCATTCTGCGTTAAAAACAGATGAAGATGAAGATGAAGATGACAGATGAAGATGAAGATGACAGATGAAGATGACAGATGAAGATGAGGCAATCCAGTGATTATAAGTCACACTTAAATGAGCCGGTAAAAAGCACGCCAACACCCTGAAAAGATGTCATTTTATTAGAGATCTAACTTACTTTTTAACTTCCAGAGAGGACTATAGATAGATTATTGGAAGATCTTACCTCAATCTCCAGATGGCGGCAAATTATTTTTACAATAAAGATGTGGTGATACGCCATTTTGAAAAAAAATGGCGCATCACCACATGAAACTAAAATTCTCATGTTAGCTCAAATTTGTTTCAAGAATCGAATTCTGTGTCAAATTTTTTCCTCAGAACACTTGTTAACTTAAACTTTTTGAAAAAAGTTTATTATTTGTTATACCCTATTTATAGCAGTATCAGCTTCCAAACCACCAGTTTTAGCATCCTCTTCACTTATCCGAGGCAAAGATTCCACACAATCTTGCCATAGATGGCTTCTCATTTATTTTAAATTCATACATAAAGCATATGCTCCACTTTTGCATTTGTAAATAAACAAATTATATAGTTCAAACATATAAAGAATATTTCTGCATTTTTTGACCAAATTTGGTTTAGTAAATGAAGTTTCTCAATTTTTCAATAATATAGTTTGTGATTGTTATTTTGATGGGAGACATATATTTTTTATACTATTATTCAGAAAGTAGATGATAATAATAGATGAAAAATAATTAACAAGATCATTTAGCAGCCATGGCGCAGTAGTTAGAGTTCTGGCACAGAACCCAGAGGTCCAAGGTTCGATGCCAGCTCCAGCCCAACAAGCGACATTTGTACGGAAAGAGGTGTGAACTTCCTGTCAAATGCTCTCCCGCTGTGTTCTGTGATAGGACTGTAAGGACTTCTGGGAGTACCTAAATAACTACAAATAAAAAATTAGCAGTTGTTGTTGCAATTATTATAAGAAAATGTTATAAATTTGCTACTAGATATTTGGTTTTCTAAAAATCTCATGGTCATGTTTTTTTTGCCGTGAATTGAAAAAATAAAAATGTTATCCTTTTTTATTTTAGCAAATGAATAAAATAAAAAGTATACTATTAAAATTTTTTTGTCCTATAGTATTTTAATAAAACGATATATATACATATATATATATATATATATATATATATATATATATATATATACATACATACATACATACATACATACATACATACATACATACTATATATATATATATATATATATATATATATATATATATATATATATATATATATATATATATATATATATATACATACATACATACATACATATATATATATATATATATATATATATATATATATATATATATATATATATATATATATATATATATATATATATATATACATATACACATATATATATACATACATACATATATATATATATATATATATATATATATATATATATATATATATACATACATATATACATACATATATATATGTATTTATATATGTATATACATACATATATATATATATATATATATATATATATATATATATATATATATATATATATATATATATGTACTTCTTTTTCATTTTGCAATTTATTATTCAACTAAAAATGTTTTATTGAAACAATTTTCAGTTATAAAACATTATACTTGTAAATCACATTTATGGAAACATTTCTACCACTAACCTTTGTCTTTAAATAATTTAAACATGTTAAGTTTTGGTTAATATAGTATAATTATTTCATTATTTCAGTAGAAGTATGAGTTGCAAAAATATAGGTTAATAAAAAAAATGCAAAAGAGGAAAAAGCAATTACTAATGGACTTGGGGATCAAGACTCATAATTCAATTCTTGCTGTGCAAGAAAAAGTTTAAATTAAGTTTATAATATTGTTTGTATTGTTTTACTGCAGGTAAACTTTGGGCATTGTCAGCTGTAGGTGTAAATAATCAGCTGTTGCTACCACAAGTGACATACTATGGTGGAAGTGTTGACGTTAGTTTTTATGCTTATGCAGTTCAATCTTCAAGCGATATAAGTATGAAATTGTTTTTAATAAATTTGTATATTTTTATTTATTAGGCGAAAGAAAATATATTTTCAGAATAAGGAGCTTCAACCCTTTAAAAAAAAAATAGTTATAATAATAATAATAATAATGATAATAATAATAATATATATATATATATATATATATATATATATATATATATATATATATATATATATATATATATATATATATATATATATATTATATATATATATATATATAAATATATATATATATATATGTATATATATTTATATATATATATATATATATATATATATATATATATATATATATATATATATATATATGTATATATATATATATATATTTGTTTAGGTTCATTTAATATATAACAATATGCAAAAATATCTAGACTTTTCTCATCATAAATATTTATTTATATTGTTTTTACTAAAAAAATGATATTTTCAGCAAAATAGGAGTTTATTTTGAGGATCATGAAGTATATTTTCAATATCTTTTTAAAAATAAACTTTCCAAATCACTTTCAATTACTCATATTGTTTACAATAAAACATTCATTTGTTCAACAAAATATAAGATATAAGAAGACATTTTATAAAATGTTTCAGAATTTTTTTAAATTTAAGATTCTTCAAAATATCCTCTCTTTGCTTTTATAACAGAAACACATACTCTGTATGTTCTTAAAATCAATTTCTGCAATTGGTCAGTTGGTATTTGATTCTAGCATGTTTGTAATGAGTAGCTGAAGGTGTTTTAGATTCGTTGGTTTTATTTTTCTAACATTTCTATCTAACTCATCCCATAAAAACTATATCAGATTTAAATCTGGTTAATATTGGAGACAAATCCATAATTTTAGTTTATTTTGTTTTTCCTTGACAATGATATAATTACTGCAAAATTTAGATGTGTGTTTAGGATTGTTATTATTTGGATAATGAATCAGCAACCTACAATTTTTTCCCGCACATAAATGCATATTTTTGGAGAATGTTGTGTTATTTTTTATTTATCCACGATGCCCTCATTTTGCACATGGTAACCAACTTTTCTCCAACAAAGCTTTCCCAGACCATGATTGATCTACTATCTTGCGATTAAATGATGAATATATTGTTGACACTTTCCTCCAAAAATTTAAGATTCATCAGTAAAAAAGACTTAAGCCCATTGTTGAATTGTCAAACTTTTTTGGTTTTCTGCCCATTTTAATCCACTAATTTTATTTAGCTTGCGTAGTAATGGTTTTTTGACCATTGTTTTAGATGCAAAAACATCATCACAGATACTGGTGTTTACAGCATAGAATTGAGTTCTTAGCAAATTTCGGAAACAGTTCGAGTATGAATTCTTTTACTTTGAACATGGATGAATTTGTTTTCATGGCTCAGCATTGCTCTAGGCCTCTCTGAAGGATGATGACTTTGATTACATCTAGTTTCTTGCTTTCTTTTCAAACCTCTAATAACTGCATTTTGATAATCACTGGTTTTTAAAGCAATTTTTCATGTTGAATAACCTTCCTTGTTTAATACCACAATTACAGCTTGTTTTTCTACTTCAGGCTCTAATTTATTACCCAATTTTTATCAATCATTAGGAATATTAGGAAAAAATGCTTTGAATTGTTTTAACATTCATTTTAATTATTCTATGAATATTACAACATTTAACAAAAACAATGTTTTGATATCTTTTCCGTATAATAAAACTATAAACCAAAACATTAAAAAAAAACATAATTAAGTTAGTTTTACAGCAAAATATATCAAATTATTACAGTAAAATATACCCTTGTATTACAGTAAAATATGCCAAAGGTATTCATTATTATAATGATGATAAACCTATACCCTAAGTACACAAATAGATGTGTGAGCCTCATTGTAATCAAAATGTCAAAATAAATTCTTAATATAAATGTTACGCTAGTTTTTAATAGAAGGAGCTTCAATTTTTGAAGAAAATTGCATACAGTTTAAAAATAAATCAAGTGAATCTAAACTTTTGAATTTATTAAAAAAGTTGATTTTATTATACCATAGCCCGGTTTTAAAGTTGTATGGGTTGTATAAATGTGTTTTGGCCCTTATTTACATTCCTGTTATGAAGCGTTAAAAATAATAATGTATATCCATATTTGAAAACTTTGATAATGTTTTAGTGCATTTTTTTAATAATAATTTTAATTTATACTATTTTTCTTACATCATTGATTGTGTTGTTTTATTTGTTGTTTTTAAATATTGGCTTTTTTGTTACAATTGTCACAGTTACGACTATCACGACAAAAAAAACATTAAAATACATGTAAAACTTCAAGTAAAAACTATGGAACTCTGCATATAATAATATCAATATGTGCTAAACACATGCATCAAATAATTTTTGGTTACTATGTTGTTTGCTGCAATAAGTCTGACAAAGTTGTTATATATATATATATATATATATATATATATATATATATATATATATATATATATATATATATATATATATATATATATATATATATATATATATATATATATATATGTATATGTATATATATATATATATATATATGTATATATATATATATATATATATATATATATATATATATATATATATATATATATATATATATATATATATATATATGTATATAAATATATATGTATATATATATGTATATATATATGTATATATATATATATATAAACTTAATTCTTCATTAATTATTACTCTTTGCTTTTTTTAGTTAAAAGTATACCTTTAACTTTAAGATATACAGGGGGAGGGGGCTGGTACATAAGAAAAAAAAGTTACCTATTAGTCAAAATTTTTGAAAGAAGACAATTTGTTTAACTGCGTGCGATTCAATAAACTTTTTTTTTCATGAATCAAGTTATATTATAAAATTAAAGACATCACGAGTAGACTATAACATCCGCTGATGACACAAATATTACGTTAAATATATTTATACAACGGATGTTTTATTATGCATGCGCACGTTGCCGACTCCCTTAATTTAAAACTAAAGCATGTGTTAGTTTAATGACAGTTTTTATTCTTTACTAATGACTATGTATTTTTCTGTATAAAATAAGACAAAGTAGAGTATCAAAACCTAGTATATTTCTATTCTCTCCAAATTGTTTGAAGTTCAATAATGGATTGCATTTTGAAGAACAAAAATATTACTTTGAAAACTTTTAAGTCTTGGGACTTTGCTGATGTTTTTCAAATTGAAACAGTCACAGAAAAAGAGAAGATTTATGTTATTAAAATCATATGTACTTTGTGTAAGCTTCATCAAAATAAAATCTTATCCAAAACCAATGGTGCCGTGAGGGCAGCTGCTCTACGGTTTATAAATGGTACAAATTATGTTAAAAAAGATAGTATTTGTAGACATTTGTCAGGAGCGACTCACCAACATGCAATTCAATTAGAAAATGAAGGCTTCGACAAAAATGATGGAGTAGCCAACAGTGTAAGGGTTTATAAATTAGTTTAATTTTTTTGTTTCATTGTCAATCGATCCCATTTCAATTAAAAGCAAAAAAAAAAAAATTGTATTTTCGGTTTATTAAATTAAATATTTATCTAAGTAAAGTTTTTAGACTTAAAATAATTTTTAACTCTTGTAAACTGCGACGTTAGAATATTAGGGTTCTATTTCACTTTTGTAATGTTGACAGAATTTAAAAAATATATATATTTGATCAGTATAAACAACGAATAATTAAATAACTAAATATCGAAAGTTAAATTCTCTCAAGGGATCGCCCATAAATTACGCAACGCTAAAGTTATTTGAAAAACAGTTATAGGAGTTTTTAAGTTCTTTTACTCAGCGATTTTTACTAAACTTAATAGGCTATTTTCATTTTTTTTTTTTTTAATTTACGCTCTGCGAATGAACACTTTTGATTATTTTGTCTTGTTTATTAGTGAAATTTAGCGTTGCGTAATTTATGGGGTACTAGATAAAATGCGAACTGCAAACTGCGAACTAGTAAAATGCGAACTTTTTTGCAAACCATTGTCCTACTGGTTGTTAATGATGTAATGTTTTATTTCTGATGAATTGTTTATTTAGCAGTATATTTTAAGGAAAATATTAATTAAAAAGAATTAAAAAGAAATTAAGTGAAACTAGACAAATACAATATAATTTTTTTTTTTTATTATTTGATAGACTGCCTTTCCGAACTAAACCCTCAGTCGATTTAGCAGCACTCCGTTGCGAGTCAAGCTATAAGATAGTCGATGTAGCAGCACTCCGTTGCGAATCAGGCTATAAGAGAGTTGATGTAGCAACACTCCACGCATGTTTTACAGTTTAAAAATATATATATTTTTTTAAAATAAAGCTTTAAAATAGATAATTAAGAATGGGAGATTTTTTTATTATTTTTTTTATCATAACAATAATGGTTTTTAAAAGGTAATGATTTGCAAAAAAGATCGCATTTTTACCTGTTCGCCGTTCGCATTTTACCGACAACCAATTTATGGTTGATTCCCAACTTCAAGAAATGGAGATAGAGCTTTATTATTCTAAAGTCACGAAATGTAAAACGTAATAACGTTTTATAATTGACTAAAGTCACATAATATGATGATCGCTTCAACGCAGTAATGCATGCTCTGGATAATTATGCAGTAATGCATGCTCTGGATGCAATAATTTTCGGAATCAATAAATAACTTACTTTATAGTATACTTTTGAAATAACAATTTTTTAAAAAACTAAAAATAATTCAATAATATTATTTTATAAGTTCTCATCTCATAGGTTCGATTACTTAAAAAAAAAAAATTCTTATTAAAAAAAATTGTTTTTACAAAACTATTTATAACATGTTATAATGGGTGACAGGAATAATGTCACAAATTTGATTGTCGAAAATGTGAAAAAGGAATAGTGTCGCAATTTGTTGCATTGAATAACAGAATAAGGGATAATGTCGCAAATGAATTTAACGAATAGTGTCAAAAATATAAGTTGAGTATTCGTCGCCTTTACAAGCAGAAAGAAAAAAAAAAAAAAATGCTACTATTTATTTAGGTTGTTTTCAAAAATTTGTCAACAAGCTCATGTTTAAACTCTTCTGCCTTGAAAGAAATACACATGCAAAATTCTTATCGTAACCTTGTAAAAATTGCCTATGAAATGGCGTGCCACCCAACAATGCCTCACGCACATTTTTCTGTTTTGGTAAGTGCTAAATTAGTTGCTATTTGCATTGAAATACTTTGTTTTAAGTTTTCTTTGTTTTATGTTGTTACTTGTACTTTATTACTGAATGATTTTTTATTTATTTATAAGTTGTTCCCTCAATGGTACCGTTCCTTTAACATCTCCTTAAAGTCGCGGTAGTCTGATTGGTTGATTTAAAATATAATATAAAATTTATATAAAATAATAATTTATTTGACAACAAAATTTAAAAAAATTAAAGATACAATACCATTGCCCGATCAACAGCCTTTTTATATATCGGAATGTATTTGACTTTAGTATTTGACTATTTTAGGTGAGGTGCGCCAAAATTACTGGCGCAAGCCTTATTAAACGCAACGAGAATGGGCGCACATGCAGAGAAATGATTAAATGTTGTGCTGACTCTGTGCGGGAAAAATGCTTCGAAAACCTCCAACGGTGCAATTTTTTTTCTATTCTTAGTGATGGAAGTCAAACAAGAAAAACTGGAAAAGAAAAAGAACTAGTTTTAGTTCGAACTGATAACAATGGCGTACCGATTTACATGGTAACAGAGTTGTTGGATATGTCACTTTTTGGTGGTAGCAACTCTAACTCTGTGACCATTGGTATAAACAGTATTTTTGAATCGGATAAATCATTATTTAAATTAAGTACCGAAGATTATACCAACAAAGTTATATGTGCAACAGCAGATGGGGCAAGTGTTAACTTCGGTATACATAAAGGTGTGCTTTCCCAGTTGCAGCAAAACTGCCCATGGTTGATTAAAGTTCATTGCATTAATCATAGAATTGAATTGGCTGTAAAAGATGCGTTTAAAGAAATTCCTGATTTTATAAAGATTGATGACTTTTATATTGCTAATTACTATCTATTAAGAAATTCAGGTAAGTTAAAAGCAGAAGTTGAAGCAGCTTCAAAATGCCTCGGTTTAACGCATTACAACTTACCAAAAATTACTGGAACAAGGTTTGTTGGACACAGGAGGAGAGGAGTTTTGAATTTGTTAGAAACATGGCCAGCTTTTATTATGGCTTATCAAAATTATGTAAGCGAACAGAGCAATTCTAAAACTGTAGCGAAAGTGAAAGGCCTATTGAAATCTTTTAAGTGTCATTCTTTCCTCTACAAAGTTGGTTTGTATCTAGACAGCTTGGAAGTAATTATTCCTGCGTCTAAAATATTCGAAACCAATGAGTTATTGGCTCATGAAATTCCTACTACTATATCTCGAACCCTATTGGAGATAGAAGATAAAATTAAATGTATTTGGGCAAGATGACGAATTTATTGACAGCTTCATAAATCGCTACTTTGTCACCGATAAAACTGATGTCGAAGGTTCGTTTGCTAAGGCTGGTGATAAACGAAAGCACGTTAAAAATCGTAAGTATATCAGCGTAATACTAGAAATGAATAGTTTTGATCATGACAAATCAATTGACGAAATTCGTCGAATTAAAAAAAACATTTTTTCAAAACTGTATTCGATATTATCAACTAGGTTTCAAGACTATTCAAGAGAATTTATACTGTATAGAAGCATGAAAATTATTGACCCAATATATTGGATAATTGAAGACCCAGAATCAGGAGTGCAGGAAATCAACTATATTTGTAACCATTTTGAAGCGCCTTTAAAAAACGCCGGTTTTCAAAAAGATGTTGCGTTAACTGAATGGAAAAAACTAAAACGACTAGTTAAAACTGAGTTTGATTGTCATCCAGTGCGCAGTTTGTGGAAAATTATTTTTAAAAAATACTTTATGGAATATCGAAACCTATGTTGCCTTATGTCATTAATTATGTGTATATCGGGGTCCAATTCAGAAGTTGAAAGAACATTTAGTACTGTTACTAATATCTTATCGGATAAACGCCTCTCTTTGAGTCATGAAGCACTTGCTGATTGTGTCGTAGTTCTTGGAAATCATAGTCTTTGGTCAGAAGAAGACTATGATGATATAATTGAGCGTTCTCTCGCCAAGTACACGCAAAAACGCCGAAAATGTGTCGCTGATATTGCCGAAAAAGAAGTTGTTCAAAAAGACTTAGCAGATTTCGATCAACTAATCGAAACAAGTGATACGGAGGACATTGATAGTGACGATGATCTTTTAACAGATAGTCTTCGTGAACTAATTATCTAATAAATAAAAATTATATATTCAAGTTTATACAGATAAACGAATTTATTATTTTTGAATTTGACTTATTTAACAGTATATTTTATTTAAGTATACAAATAAAAATAGTATTGTTCAATAAATAAATTAAATGTTTCTTAACAAAGATTACTTCGTATTTATTCTCCTTCTTTTTATTTTGTTACCCTAAATTAAATTGCTTGCAAACGAAAAAAAAAAAGAGTTTTATAATAAAATTAAAATACTTTAGAGTTTGTTTTTAAGTTAAGAAACTTAATTTTTTATGAACAATTTTTAACAAATGTTTATTATAAACAGATATGATACGATTTATTAAATATACTTTTGTTTTATTTGAGTACTTTTTTAAGTTTGCACGATTGCGTAGAAGCATTTAAAAAGTTTTTCGTTTTGAGAATTATTAACAAAAGAGTATGAATAATTGAGACTTTTCTATGTAATTGAATTTTTTTGTGTTTAATAAAATTCAAAAAAAAAAAAAAAAAAATTTAGTTGTTAAAAAAATTATTCTCTATAGCTCTGTGGTTTTTTGTGATTTGTTTAAATGTAAAACATTTATAACGTAAAACATTCATTCATTAAATTCCTGGCGAACGCGTTCTATTTTAGTGCAAAAATATGCACAAAACATGCTTTAAACTTTTTTTATATTTTTATACAACGCAAGTGAAAACGCTGAGCGACATAAATATACGTGATATATTTAAAAACCTAGTCAAAACAAAATCGCTGTTCAAGTAATAAGCAAGGGTTTTCGTTTATCAATACGTTAATACTTTTTGTTTACTCTCGAAGATTTTTAATTAAATAACGCAACTACAATTTTTTGAAATAACAAATTCAAAACACAACAAATTTTTTATAATATATTTACATTTACAACATTTATACATTGTTTTAATTGAGTTAATTGTTAAATTGAACTAGTTTGCGGTTATTCATTTATTGAGGTAATTAAAACACTTAACGTCTATAAAAAAAAATAAAGATAACCTTATGACGTCAAATATCGCGTTAAGCTAATGCGTTGAGCACTTTTTTATTTAAAACAAGGCCTGATATTATATATATATATATATATATATATATATATATATATATATATATATATATATACATATTTATATATATATATATATATATATATATATATATATATATATATATATATATATATATATATATATATATATATATATATATATATATATATATATATATATATATATATATATATATATATATATATATATATATATAGAAAGTATTATATTAATTTATAATAATTTCTCTATTTATATTTAAAATTTATTGACTATGCTACAATTTAATGGATACAGGTGGTGCAAAAACAAAAATTTATTGACTATACTACAATTTAATGGAGACAGGTGGTGCAAAAACAAAAAATTTATTGACTACACTACAGTTTAATGGACACAGGTGGTGCAAAAACAAAAAATTTATTGACTGCACTACAATTTAATGAACACAGGTGGTGCAAAAGTAAAATATTTATTGACTACACTACAATTTAATGGACACAGGTGGTGCAAAAAGCATTGGACAATGGTTGTTAGAGAAAAAAGTTCTAAATTTAAATCCCTTCTTGATTGTTACAAAAAACTTGTAAAATATATTAGTAAAGCTTGTAAAGTATATTACATCAATAATAAAAATTGGCAGAGAGTAAAAGCAGGGATGAATGATCCTATTTACTCTCGAATCCTTAATAAAAAGGGGAGGATGTTGATTAATTAAATAAAAATTTCTTTCACAGTGTTTTCTAAAGTCTGCAAGCATGAAAAAGTTAAATTCTGTTTTTAATGTAATCATTTTCTTCTTAATTCTTCTTATTTTTGTTTTCAAAAAGTTGTCGTTTGTGACCAAATCTCTATAAATAATAGGAAAATATCTCCTTAAATCTCCTTACTTTTAGCCTCAGTTTTAATAGTGGGAATCCTGTTACATTCTATTTAATTATATTCTATATAAATTATGTTCAGTGTATATTATGTATATTCAACAAATAGAGTGCTTAATGTTTTTAAAGTATGATGTAAAGTTTTGTGTTTTAAAAAATAGTTAAAAATGTTTTTGAGATTTTTCCTTTTTTTTTCAACCAAAAGTCTTCATTTTCCTCTATTATTCCAACCATTGATCATATTTCTGAAATGACACTGATTGTTAATTTTTTAAAAAGTACAAAAAATGCTGATTTGGGAGTGAATTGCAATAGTTGCTCGCCATTTTATCTTTTCTGTAGACTTAAAAACCTATAATCATGCACTTTGTTGATTTTTTGCTTGAAACAAATTGTTTTTTTTTAGATTGGTTGAAGAAGTTTTAGATTGGTTGAAAAAGTTTTAATTTGTTATCATTATTGTTAAGTTTTAATTTGTTATCATTAAATTGTTATCATTTATTTTCTCAATAATTGATGTTTATTATTTCAATTTTATTCTTATGCATTTGCCAAAATTGTCTAAAACACTATAAAGTGCCTTCACTTTATCAGTTTCAATATCAATTGGCCCTCACCTCCACTTCTATTTCCACTCATATTTATTCATTGTTGTTATTGATTCACTGTGCTCAAGGTAGTTATTTACTGTATTCCAGTACTAGGGTACAGTGAATAACTTAACATAAAGCACTCTATAAATAGATGAATAACCTATATCTCATTAACACAATTTGAAACAGAAAAAAAGCAATCCACTTATCCATAACTAGTTTTTTTTTTTTTTTTATATGAGATTTTATTCTATTACGAAGAAGCGTTTGTTGATTATCTTATAATTGAAAACAACAATTGAAAAAAAGAAAGCATATAATTTAACAATACTGAATCTTTTATTTTTAAAACCTAGGATTAAATACGTTTTTAAGTTCTTATTCTAATAAATAATTTGGTAAGTATTTACAATTTTATCAAGCCTTTAATTCCACAATGCATTGTAAGATTTTATTTAAAAAAAAAAATTAAATCTTATCTACTTAATTTTTTTTTTTTTTTTGCTAGTTGCAACAATCCAGTTCTTAGATTCAAATTTTATTCTAATTCAATCCAACAGTCTCAGTTTAACAATAAATTCTTGGAATTATTATGCCGTTTCTCTGCCAAGTAATCAACTACTAAACTCAGCATTTTCAGTAAGATGTTTTATTTTTATTTTATTTTTATTAGATTAGTATTAAATTTTTTTATTAAAATTGTATCCAAGAACAAATGTTATAATCAAAAGAAGAAAATGTTATATTAATCAAAAGAAAATTTAAAAAAAGAAAATTTATGATAATGAAAAGCCAATGGCATTTAAAAAAATAATAATAATTGTCCTGTAATAAAAATTATTATAAAGATTAAAAGAAATTGCGACTTGGAAACAAAAAAGCCCCAACATTTTTGCCGCCCCAGCCTCAAACGAGTTGCAACAAGTTGATAAAATATTTTTTATAGTACAAAGAGCAACAAGCGGTATTGTTATGCGGTAGTGGTGTAGTGGTAGAGCGCTCGCTTCATAAACGAGTGGTTCCGAGTTCGATCCCCACCACGTCCCTGGTAGTACCGCGCTCAACTCGTTTCTCTGCGCAGCGGCCTTGTTCGTCAAGGTTCGTGTTTTGGAGTTATAGAGTTGAGAGAGGGTTATAGCCACAAAATAAGTAGCCTTCTCGTCTGTAGTGGCCTTCTCGGCCTTGAGGAGGTGAAGTAAAATTAAAAAAAAAAAGTTGATAAAATGTTTTTTGTACTATTCTCAACTAGATTTACATTATATTATATCGATTAATTATAAATTTCATAGCATAACATTTTAGTGTTAAAAAATAATGACCATTTAATGTTTATATCCTCCTCAATTTGAGGGTGTTACAAGTTTTATATATTCATAATATTTGAACGCTTAGAGGTTATACTATGAAATTTGAAATTTATTAATGTATATAACTCTAGTTATGAATAGTACAAAAAATTGTTTTATCAGCTTGTTCCTCAAATGTTTGGGGCAGGGGCCCGAACATGAGGGCCCGAAAGTTTCAAAGCTCCTTTGTTTCCTGGTTCCAATCATTACAATAATTTACAAAGCATGCTTATTTGACATAACTATAAAGAAATAAATGTTTGGAGTTAGACTAATCTCAAAGACTAAAAAATGCTAGATCCGCCCCTGGGTCATTATAAGAATAAAATTAATTATAATAATAGTTATGATATAATAATTTGTTAGGATGGTGTCACTCACAGAAATCTGATCAAATTTCTAAAATACAATATAAGTAATAATAAGCAAAAACATACATTGAAACATATGGAATGTAAACTCTTAGATTAAAGCACATAGAACATATATTAAAAATAAACATGTACAAATCGTTATTTGCTAGTTATAATAAAAATAAAATAAACAAACAAAAAGTACTGATGATATTTAAAGTAATCACATAAAGAGAATTAAAAGAATATTTTAATATTAACGATAATAATGTCTAAAAGTTAAAATAAAATGTTTTTTAGAATTTTTTTTATTGATTTTGTTTAAGATAGAGAAAAGGTATGTTAGGATGTAGTTTTTTGAACTCATAAAAAATCCATATAAGGTTCTTGTTTCATTCACAGATGCACTGATAAACAATAGAATGCTTTTAAAAGTATGGTTTCAAAAGTTGGTATATTTAGTTTTCCATTATATATATTTCTAGTAGAGTAGGAATGTCTACTTTATGTAAACAATTTTGTAATTAAAGATGGTAAACTTTTATTTAAGGTGTCATAAACAAAAAGAAGCACTGGAATGCTTGGAATGTTCAGTTTCCTAAAGGACTCCAATTTATCTGATTTAATTGGTTGGAAGTTTATTAATCTAATGGATTGACCGTGAGACAATAGCAACTTGTTAATATGACAGCTTTCAACTTGACTCCAAATCTGACAACAATAGCTAAGATGAGATGAGAATAATGTATAGTAAATATTTATAAGTGTAGTTTTATTGACATAATGACGAATTATTAAAAGTTGTTAGCTCGAGTTTTTTGTTTTGTTCATCAATTTAAAAGTTCCATGAAAAATTGCAGTGAATCAAAGATATTTAACAACTTCTAAAGACATATTAGTTTAGAATTTAACCAATCAACTATACCTTTTAGATTCGAATTTACATTTTTACATAAAGAATGACACAATATGATGACGTGAAAGAGAATTGCATCATCAGCAAGCAGATAAGTTACCAGAAGTGAACAGAGTTAGTTAGGTCATTAACATAAATTAAAAATAAAGAAGAACTAAGAATAGAAATTTAAGGAACACCACATAAAATTAATTGATTACTAGAATTAAAACCATTAATACTTACAAATTATTTTCTATCTAAAAGATAAGATTAAAACCAATCATTTAAAATACCCCAAACTCCATAATGTTTTAATTTAGAAATCAAAATACTATGATCAACAGTATTAAAAGCTTTTTGTAAATTGATAGAACATCACAAAAGAAATGACCAGTATTGAAAATTTTTTCTGATTTTTTCTATTACACTTATTAATGCATGACAAGTACAATGGTTTGATTGAAAACGAAAATAAAAATCATTTAAAAAATTAAATGAGTTTAAAAAAGAGTTTATTCTAGAATACATAAATTTTTCAAGAAGCTTTCTAATGTTAGATAAAAAAAGAAATAGGTCTATAGTTAGTAAATGACAGTTTAGAGCCATTTTTTTAAATATCGGAATAATGCAAGATAATTTTAAAATATCAGGAAATGTTATAAATGAGGTATTAACTAGTTGAAGGGATGAAATTTCGGGAGATAATTTGTTGGAGATAATAATAAACTATGTAAATTAGGATATTGAAGATACTTTTGATAGTTAACGCAAAATGAATGGATATTGACATATATATATATATATATATATATATATATATATATATATATATATATATATATATATATATATATATATATATATATATATATATATATATATATATACATATATATATATATATATATATATATATATATATATGTATATATATATATATATATATATATATATATATATATATATATATATATATATATATATATATATATATATATATTATATTGGATTATAATATTGGATTTGAGTTTATGAGCAACACTTAAAGAAAAAGTGTAAAATGATTCAGAGATAAGAATCGGGTCAGTTCTATAGGTTCATTTTCTTGTAAACAGTTTGGGGATGATTTATTAAAATTTTTTACATTTTATTAGAATCTTAATGCTTTTTCAAAGTTCCTTAAGTTTTTTACATATTCTTAGAAAAAAAATTTTCAATAGATTTTTTTACAAGGTTTAATTAAAGTAACTATATATTTATTATTTTAAAAATACTTTCGTAATTGTTTATATTAATAAGATCTTTAGATATAAATATTTTTTGTTGAAAAAGATTAGGCATTTGAATAAATTTTATATTTTCTTTTGTAATCCACGGTTTGAATCAACATTTGAAGTTTTTGATAAGCAGGGCTTAGTGATCTAAAATCAATGTTGTTTTAGTAATAATTGTTTGGAAACATGAAGTAGTATCATCCCAGTTATTCTTTGATAAATCAGATTTAAAGTTTTCTTTGTCTACCTGGTATAAATAATTTATTGAATTCAGGACAAATACTAAAATGAGGTATGTGATTAGAAACAGATGTTGTCAAATTTTCTGAAATAATTTTATAACTTAATAAGTTAGAAAAAATATTATTAATAATTGTAGCAGAGTGATCAGTAATTCTAGTCGACAAAGTGATAATAGGCCAAATACTATAAAAAGAAAATTAGTTTTAAGAATCAGATGTTGCAATGTCATTATCTGATCATTATTGTAATCACCAAGTAAGAAAACTGATTTGTTTTTAGCAGATATTTTTGAAAGTATGACATATATTATTAAAAATATTGATATCCATGCATAGGTGTCTATGAATGCAACTAACAATAATATTAAATTTTTGAGAAAAAATAGTTTAAACAAATTTTGCTTATAAACAATTAGGTGCGTAAGTCATTAAATCATCTCTTTGTTTGTATAATAGTTCACCCCAAGAGGATTTTGTTGTTGTGTGCTCAATGTTGTAATTATCAATGAGAGTTGAATGAATTAAGGATGTTCTTTTTTTTAACCTTGCTTCAGTTATATGAATAATGAGAAAATCAAAATAAATTAACAATAGTTTTATGTTTCAATCTTCAAAGTGTTTTTGTAACAATGATATGTTTATTAAAGTGTACATAAGTGTACATAATTTGGAAAAATAAAATCTATATTTACATATGCTTTCAAGCTTTTCACAAAACATAAAAGAAAATATACACTTTCACATATTAGACAAATAATAGGCTAATAATAGACAGATAATAGACAAAAAAATAATAAAATTAAATTGTTTCAATAATAAAAATAATAATTGTTTTAATAGACTTAACAGCTACAGCTACAACTTAACAGCTACAAAAATATTAACTAAATTATTAATTAAAAAGGTTTTTAAACCTTTTTAATTAATAATTTAGTTGATATTTTTAGTCAAACTTATACAAACAAAATCATTTTATACAAACTTATACAAACAAAACCATGTTTTATATGTTTAAGTTATGCTGTGAACATGTTGCATCATTATATTCCTCACAATACTTTCCCAAATACTTTTAAAGTAAAAATGCTGGACTACAGTTTAGTGGATATAATTTGTCTTTGCATAAAACCATAAATTAAGGATTATTAATAAATAATTAGATAAACTGTTTTAGCATTTTTTTTTTTTTTGATACTATTCAGAAAGCTTCAACATCTCTAAAAATTAAATAGTCAAATGTTCTGGATTAGAACATTTGTAGTTTGTTTTGTTCTCACATTGAATCTTCATAGAACTAAAATGATATGAATATTTTCTATTTGAAGAAAACCTTTTTCTTTTCTTTTTTTTTTTTAACCTTAATTTTCAACCAGACTGCAAGCTACCACTATTAGAGTTCAACTTCCAAGTCTAAGAGTGGTTGCTTGCAGTCTGGTTCAAAGTAAAGATGGTTGAGAAAAGACAATGAATAAAATCAAGAAAAGCGATTATAAAGTAAAATGACACTTAACCCAACTTTAAAAGTTGCAAATTATAAATTAGGAAAACAAGAAGAAGGGAGTGAATATATATAACCTATTGCTATTATGCTGTTTAGAGATCTTATTGAGTCTTTGCTTTTACTTTTATGGTTGATATATATAAATAAAAGTATCTGATTACTTTTGATTCTAAAGCTATCTCTCTCTCAAACTTATTGATTGACATTATTTTAATAATACGAACTTAAATATATTTTTCAATTTGATCTAGTTTGTTATTTACTACTATTTTTCTTGACATAAAAAAAACAACCTTTAATATTAGGTTTAAGTTGCTTTTGTGGTTTAAATAGTTAAATGTAATATTGTGTTAAGTGTGTAAAATGTGTCCTAGTGGTAGTTGATGGTTTAATAAAAATTTCCGCACAAAAAAGTTTACAAAATTAAAAAAGATATCTACTTTATAATATTTTAGATGTAAGTCTTTACTTTAGTTTGTTTATGAAAATATATGTAAAATTTTTTTTTTCTTTGTTCACTTTTTAGGATTGGCTTCTATGGTTGCAGTTAGTCTAAAAAAAATAATATTATGTTTCTTTTTCTCACATTCTTTTGTTTTTATTTGAACAGTGAATAGTACTATTTTTTTTTTGTTCACTTTTTTTATTGAGTATTCAGAAACCTTTAAATAAAATACACGATCTAATCAAATATGTTACTTCATTTTCTTTTATTATATAAAGCCTTATTATTACACACTACACAGGGGCTTATTATTATACAATACACAGGGACTTTTTTTCAGGGGGTTATTACAGTTTTGTTTTTTTTCAATTTCTTTTACACTTTAATATTGTTTTTAACTTTTTTTTATTTTTAATGTTTTAATTAAATTTAATTTTTTTAATTAAATCTTAATTAAATTTTAAATAATTATTCTTAATTATACTCAAAAAAATAAATAAATAAATAAATAAATAGATGAATTTAATTATGTATTCATTAACTATAATTAATGTATACATAATTAATTTTATCTCTAATTTATTTATTTATTTATTTTTTGTTCTTTTTATTATACTATTTTTTTTTTTAATTGTAATTTTTAAAGTTTTTTTAAACAATGTTGTTTTTATTTTCTATGATTGAGCAATTAATATTCCTTTAAGATTTTCTGAATGCGTATGATATAACTTTAAATTAAATTTGATTACTTGAAAAAAATTCATCAACTTTATTGATCAACTTGTTACTAATGCATATTTGCAAGAATTTTAAAAAAAAGCTGCTAAGCTACTTTGAATATGCTAAGCTACATTGAATATGCTATTTTCAAGTATTCTAATACATTTTAACATATGAAATATCATTTTGGATACATCTTTGTGATAATATTCTAAATTCATATAAATTTATAATAAAAATAGATTGAGTGAATTTAAAAAGTTTATATATAATAAAATGAGTAAATGTGAAAATTATAATGATAGTAAATATAAAAAGAAATTAAATTTAGAATAAAATGTAAAATTACTTTTGTTATATAGTTGAAGTTAGAAATAAACATGTAACACGTAAAGTAGACACAAATTTTTTTTTGTTAAAACCTCATGAAAAATAAACAATACCTGTATTACATGAATAACATATCATCATTGAGTAGCCAAAAAAATTCTCAAGCCTTAAAAGTTTTAAACCTTCAATTATTTTTATTAATTTGTTTTAAAAATGTTTATTTTAATAAATGCATTTTTGTTTTATAGGTGTCTTTTATGTATAGTGGTGATAGTCTAATATACATAGACTCTGTTTTGATAAAAATTGAAGGTATGAACTTAGTTGTACCTTAGTTATGTACAGTTTTGTTTGCTTAAGATAATGGTGTGCATTTAAATGTTTATAATATGTACTTGTTATTTCAATATTTTTATTCTAGGTATCCTTGCAAGTTGCTTTTCAATAACATCATTAAACAATTGTGAATTTACTTTATCAGACTTTAATACAAGAGGATGGAAGTTTTCAAGTAAGTCTTTTTTTATTTATTTTTTTAATATATTTTTTATATAACAATTTGTTTTTACAATTTAAAAGAAATGTAAAAAATAGTATAATAATAAACAACAAACAAAACAGCATAATAAACATTAATAAAATTTGAAATAAAAATTTAAAAGAAATTAATGAAGGCTATAGTTTTAATAATTAAAACTTACTAGCTGAAATCGGACCCGTAAAAATATGGGTCTTTGTAAGTCTATTCCAAACCAAACTTTTTCCCTATACATCCTAGCTTTCCAGATCCGTAAAATACAGGTAATCAAGCCTAACGTTTCTATCCATATCTATTCTGCACTGATAATTTATATACCTATTCCTTATTTATTTCAATATTTTTTAGTAAAATAATTTATTCTGAAAAATACATTCAAGATTAAAAAACTTAACATGTACACCTTTTCCGCATATATAGAGCTTATAAAAGACTTATAATTAGATTTTTTTTTCTACTAAATGCATTTGATAGCTCAGTAGTTAAGTGTGCTGTCATCCGTTTTGTTTTAGGAGGTTTAAGGCTTTTCTTCAGCATAATAAACTTTGATATTTTTTTAATAATGCTTTAAATACTTATAACAAAAAAGTAATAATTTAGCAAAAAAGATTTCTAAAATTTAAAATAAAATTATAAAGTTTTATAGATATATTAGCTGTCATGACCCATAAAACACTTTAAAACAAACTTGGTAAATTTATTCCACATCGCCTTTTTCCAAATTTATTCCACATAAATTATGAATTTATTCCACATCGCCTTTTTCTGTACTTATTCCTTATTTCAATATTTTGTAGTATAACTATCGCTTAAATTTCTTTAAGCGCGTTTCAGACAGAATTAGCGAAAAAAAATTAACATGCACATCTTTTCCGTATACGGATCTTATAAGAGTATCTTATATAAGTGGATCTTATAAGAGATTTGAAAAATAGTTTTTTTTTTCTCACAAATAGAGAGACTCTTTTCCACATTAACTTTATCTATATTTCTCCTAATATTTTTTTGATGAACAATAGATTATGAGCAGAAATGAAAGTTTACATACGCATCTTTTCTGTATACTTAAAGCTTATTACCACGTATATTTTTTTGGAATGAAAAATTATGAATTTACTACTAAAAAAATTTAGAAAGATAATTGTCTCTTTACGGTGTTAGATGCCTAGATTTACCTAATTAAATATGTTAGGTACTATTTTCATAGTTATCTAAGTTGCGTCATTTAGCATTTGGTTTTGAATGTTTAGCAGGCGTTGTAAAATAGCTATGAAACTTTAAATTACTTAATTATCCTAAAATAAGTAATTTTAACTTTTATTATTTTTTAAAATAATTAAGTTGATAAAAATGATTTATTTTATATAAAAACAAAATTTTAAGTCATGTTCTTAATGAAAACATTATTTAAACCTCCTTACTTTGTTCAAAAAAAGATTAGAAGCCGAGTGGCAAGCTTGCTTTTTTTTTTTTTTTTTTAAAAGTAAAACAAAACGATTTCATAGTTCCTTTTTAAAAGTGTTTTATTCTGTATTTTAAATTAAATCAATGAAAAATTAAAAAAATAAATAAAAAAGAATGATAGGACTTCGATATTCGCTCGACCATATTGCAACTTACTTAACCTAAGTTTTAAATTATTTAAAAAGCAAAAGACTGTATAAAACAAAAATAAATGCTACAGACCAAATTTAAAAAGATGTTGTTGCAATACAAGTAAACCTGTAAAACATGATATTACATATTTATTTAAAAACTTTGGCATATAAAATTCGCCGAATGGTCACACACGAGCAGTGAACGCCTGAGGGAAGAAATGAAGTACATTAGAATAAAGGAAAATTATTTATTAGACAAAGCATATTTTGACAGTTGTCAAGACAAAAATAAAGGTTACATACAAAGAAAATAAAGAAACATAAAAGAATAGTCTGTGGATTCAAACCTAGTTTCCCTTCAATTGAGTGAGTTCTTATGAATGTAAATACCCATGCCAAGATATGACTATTGATGTCTTTACAAATTAATGGAAGAAAACTATTAACACAAAAATCACAAGATGAGACAATTGAACTCAAATTGGTCTCACAAAAGGCAAATAAGTTTGGTGAACTTAACAAGAGATAAGACTCAACAAAATAATAATTATTTCGAAGACAAATATTAGTGAATGATAGATTTAGAAAACTTGGATTTAGAAAATGATCATGGTTTTCTGTGTTTTATAGTTTTTGGTACTTTAGTCGTTTTTGAATCTTTTAAAGAACTTGACTCAAAGCACAGATTGTACTTAGTACACTAATGAATAGTCCAAGCTATTGCCTCATTACTATTAATAAACCCTAAGCCGGAACAAAAAAGTATAATTGTAAAAATGTTTAAGGCATTCAAATATCTTATTGAAGTTTTTAAAAAAAATTTTTTTTATGTTTGGATTTATATATTAAGGCATAAATAAATAGATTGCTTCATAAATATTTTTATTATTTCTTGATTTTCATCTTTCATTCTTTTTTTTTAAATCCTGTTTTTTTTTTTTCAGTTTATTTACTATAATTCATAATTTGTTGTGTTTACTAATATCCAAAGTTTACTGATAATAATAAGCATTAAACAGCATAAAATATGCAAAGCATAAAATAAAAATTAAATGAAATAAAAACATAAAATGGATAAACCATTTAGTAAATGGCATAGTTTAATGGAATGCATTTTTGATAATGAAAGCTTGTATTTTAACTTATTTAATTATGTTATATACAATATTTATATAGTTATATATATGTTATATAGTGATATCTCATAAATTTTTTTTTAATTATCTACAAAATTTAGACTTTTTTTAAGACTGATTTGGAAACTTTTTAAAAGAAGCAAAATATTGATTGCAAAGGAAACTACCATAATCAGCCACACAAAGCAGCTACAGCCAATTCGGCTATTTTAATTTAAAGCTTTGATGCTTATCGCATTTTGTAATAAAGATCATTTTAAAGAAAAAAATAAGGCCCGAGAAAAACTTCCATTTTAAATATGATCTCAAATAAATATGAAAAAAATTAAAAGTGCTGTGATTAAACTTATAAATATTACTAAAATTAACACTCATTACTATTAACTGAAGATAAACACTTTGTTAAAACATAGAAGACTATAAAAAAATGAAAAGCAAAGGTAAAGCAGGGAAAAGCAAAGCCGAAGTGGGGCATTTAACTAGTAATATTGCAAGTAAAATACTTTTAAAGTTTTATTTTGTCTAGAGCAATAAAAAAAAGACAAGGAAAAAATAGAACTTACTTTAAGCAATAAACATAAATATGAAAATATTAAATGTACATTGGGTCAGCAATAAAATGTTTCCAAGTTCAGCTAATGTTGATTGATGCATGCATGTTACATAACACATTAAATGTATGAAGATTGAACTTTTTCTAAAACATTATCCATATGACTAGTTTACAAATTTATTTGAAACTAGTTTTACAATTAAAAACTAGTTTACAAATATATTACAAACTTGCTTACTAAAAACAAAATAAAAACAGTAGAAAAAACATAATTGATTGATATTTTAATGTTTTATGAAGCAACCTGCAAACAAGTAGCAGAAATAATCAACCTCAAAGTTGTTAACAACATTATTTTATTGGTGAATTTGTTTGATTTTGTTATATGTTATGTATATATTATTCCAATGAATATACAACTTTTTTACTTTTAGCCTCTAGTTTAACTTGGAATAATAGTCCTGGATACAGCATGGCAACAAAAAGTTTTTTATATCTTGGAGGTTTATTAAAAGGATCAATTGGTGTCACTTCAAACCAGTACGTTCAGCTAAGTAAGTTCTTGTTAAATATGTATTCCAAGTTTTTTAATTTTTTCTGGAAAAAAGTTATTTGATTTTTGAAGCAACTAGATTATTATTACTTCATGAAATTTTATAGCATACACACTTAGTGATGCATGAAGAAGGCATGAGTCCTAATATATAATATATTTTCTTTAATTTTTTTCAAACAAGTTATAAAAATTACATAGTTAAAAAAATTACATAGTTAGAAATAAACAAGTTATAAAACATTATAAAAATTATAAAAATAACAAAAAATAGTAAAGAAACCATACAACCCTTATTTTTTATTGGTATCATGTATCACTTTTTAATCATGGTGTCACTGCTTTTGTCACCATTGTTAAAAAGTTAGTCTAAAGCAAAGTCATGTCATTGTTGCAGTATGAAATTAGCAACCAATCATATTTTCAACCTTTTATGAAATGTATCTATTTTCAAATACCTTATTTTTTTTTTTTTTAGCTGTTACAATTCCAGGAACATCATTTAGAAAGATAGTTACTACTATTTCTGATTCATTTGATTTGACAGCCTCAACTCAGTATACAGTTGGACAAACTTATACGGCAAGTGTTTATTACAGTTAACTTGAAAAGTTATATATAAAATCTTTAATAAAGGTAATTGTTATATTGAAAGATTTAATTATATACCTAAAAATTTCTCAAATATTTTAACTATAAATTTAGTATTGAAAAAATCTTTTTAAAAATTATGAAATATATACTATAAAGTTGTGTTGTAATATGTATTGTAAGCAAAAGAAAAAAATTAAAAGTGAGAAAAATGAAGAAGGTCTTAATACTTTTAAACAAAACAGAAAAATAAATTAAAAGCAAAGAACCAAGTTAAAAGAACAAAAGTTTGAAAAATGTTTAAAAAATAATTAAAAGAACTAATTAAAACATAAAAATAAATTGCTACCGTAAGCCGGGTTTAAATAGCGGGGTAACTTTGGACACAAATTATATTTCATATTTATATGAAACTGTTCAAACCTTAAATATCAAAATTTAAAAAATAGTTTATATTTTGATTATTTAAAGTCTTACAATGTTTATTGGTTGTTATTGTGCCTTCAAAAATCATTTTAATATTTACGATATTTTTCTCAAAAAAATAATTCAGAATACTTTATACGCTGCCTGGTGAAGCAGATTGTTGTCTAAGTTGTAAAAGTTTTGTTTATAAATTTATTAATTATATAAAAACTAAAAGAATTTGTTAATCTGCTACAGTTATTAACCAGTGGTATAGCATAACATATTTTGTTGTATAAATTTTTTCGCATGCAGGGTAACTTTGAATATCATTCAAAGTAATCCCACAACATGTTGTCAGAAATATGAAATGATTTTAAATTTCTTCTTACCAAACATGTATAATATACAATTGTACTATTTCTAAAAATAGTACAATATATATATATATATATATATATATATATATATATATATATATATATATATATATATATATATATATATATATATATATATATATATATATGTATATATGTTTATACAAATGATATATTATATCATGTGTATATATATATATATATATATAATTAATAATAATAGCAATTTATATAAAGAAAAAAAAGAAAAAAATTTATTATAATCAATTAAAGCACTTTATTTATTTTTTTTATATAGGTTTTTAGAACTTGCAATCAAAAGTTCTAAATTCAATTAATGTGTGAAAGTGATTTTTTTGATATAAGGGGTTTTTAAGCTTTAAAATTTTGTACTTTTTTTATTTTAAATATTAAATCATCATGTATTGTATAATGTGTATAATGTTTTAAATATTAAATCATCATTTATTTGTATAATGTGTATAAACAGTAACTCATACATATATATATATATATATATATATATATATATATATATATATATATATATATATATATATATATATATATATATATATATATATATATATATATATATATGTGTATATATATATATATATATATATATATATATATATATATATATATATATATGTTTAGTTATCATTATATAAATTAATATATACTGGTTAATAATAATAATAACTTATTTTATTTTTAAATAAAAAGTTTTTAATTAACTGTAAATAAATTGGAGAATTTTATCAAAAATAATTTAATAACATCTTTTCATTTATTTTAGTTGCAAATAGTAATCGAGTTCTTTGGGACTGTTTGAAACACTGAGAAATGGTTCTCGATTCATGCAACTATATCAGTTTTTCTTTTTATGACATCAACTGATAATTGTTCATTTTGAAATTCTAAATTTAAAACACTCAGTAACAGTGGCACACAGTTTGACTGCCTCAGATAGTTATAATGGTTAACTAGCTCTTAGGTTAAACTGGCATGACTGCTACCGATCACTGTTGTACCATGTTTAGCTTTAAATAGTTTAGGATATTTAACAACCATAGAAGATGCAATTACATCTAAATGTTTTTTTAATGGCTTTGGACAGTTTAGACATCATTTATAATAATCCTTATAATTGCACTCTGATGTGCTGTTAAAGGTCTTTTTCCAGCTGCAAATGTATCTTGTGCCTTTTTAGTCATTTTGGCCTGTGTTAAAACAAATGTCCATTACCAACCAGCAGCACTTACATGTTTATTCTTCATTACTAGACAGAATTGAAACTATATTCAAACTAGAGCAATTAAATATTTAAAAAATACTAGTCAAATAAATTTAATTTAAAGAATGCTAATTAAATATTTTTTTACTTACTATATTTTATTAACAACTTTTTTTTTTAGTAATAACTTACTCGAATTAGTTGAGTTATTTTTACTTCATCTATGGGCATTATTTGCATGCTGGATTGTGTGGCCACAATAAAATCTATTTGATTTTGAGATTGTACTTCAAAAAATGTTATTAATAATATTAATAAAAACATATAAATATATATAATAATAAAAATGATATTTATTATATATATATATATATATATATATATATATATATATATATATATATATATATATATATATATATATATATATATATATATATATATATATATATATATCATAAATCTTTACTACAAGAGCTTTCCTTTGCGAAAGATTCAATTTGTTTGCTTAGTTGGATAAGTTTTAGTAAAACCAAATCCAAACCAATTTCCCATAAAGTTTTTCACAACTTGGTTCAAAACACATCCATCAGTATTTAGCAGTGTTCTTAAAGTATTGTTTTTAATAGCGTCTATTATCTAATAAAAAGAGATCATATATTTCATGTGTATATATCAAAAATATCATATATATCAAGATAAGTTATATACAAATAAAATATATTCATATATATATATATATATATATATATATATATATATATATATATATATATATATATATATATATATATATATATATATATATATATATATATATATATATATATATATATATATATATATATATATATATATATATATATATATATATATATATATATATATATATATATATATATATATATATATATATATATATATATATATATATATATATATATATATATATATGTATATATAAAACTGAAGTCAGCAATAATTTGCCAACCTCAATTTTTTAGAGGTCGACATCAGGTTAGCAAAAAAAATTTGATAGATAAATCTTACCATAAAACATAGAAACAAGGTTGACAATTTTTTTCTAAATCTCAAACACTTGAAGGTTGGCAGTTAGGTTGGCATGCCAACCCTAAATTTGAGGGTTTTATGTATATATATATATATATATATATATATATATATGTATATATATATATATATATATATATATATATATATATATATATATATATATATATATATATATATATATATATATATATATATATATATATATATGAAATATAGGATGTACAGGATATTTTATACAGTGAATATTTTCATTTTAACCTAAATGGAAAAATAACATAAATTCTTGTTCTCACAGGAATTTAAATATATATATATATATATATTTTTTTTTTCTGTCCCATCACCAGTCCCATCAATTTTTCTGTCCCATTACCAGTCACAAGGATCGCAGTTCTATCTACTTTTTGTTGACCACCATTTTTTTTTCTTTATCGAAATTGCTTTTCTGATTTGACGTTTCATTTCCATTTTAATTTCTCGAACTCGTTTCAGTGCTTCCCTGATTTTCTGATCAGTTCTTGCCATACTACAGCTTCAATGGATCTTTTCACTGTTGACATAAGAGTGCTTTATATTCATTATTTTTTATAACTTCTATTGCATTCTGAGTTGATATATCAAAAAGTTCTTCAAGATCAGCCTGAAAAATTCCTTTATTCACTTTTTCAGAAGTAGATAATCATTCTTTTTTAACTTTTTTTCTGCATTATTAATTCTTTGAGTTGGTACTTTTCCTCTCTCCTATATAGCAAGAACTGCTTCAATTGTTGCCAGAAAACTTTCTTTCACTTTTGGTTTCTTTTCTAAATGGTGGAAAAGCAACCTTCGAAGTACATCGTCTTTTGAAGGATGTCTGGCAGTTGACAGAATTTGTGTAGGTTTACCAACAAACCACACCTCAGCAGAAGGTCTTGTGGTTGCCATATTATTAGTTTCTAAATTGAACAGAAAGCAAAATGTTATCAATAAAACATTATATAAAATATAGTTTACTGAGGTAACAATGGTAATAGGCAAATTAATAAATAATACCCAGCAGGCATTTGTTTTTAAAAGTTACGTCCTAAAGTAATGCTCCTAATGTTAATAGCAGAACACACAATTAGTGCATGATCTTGGTATCCATCTTACAAACATTGATTTTGCTCTATTATTTCCTTAAAGAGTGCTTTAAGGAAATAAAAGAACGATTGTCGTGTTTGTAAGATGAATACCAAGATCATGCACTAATTGTGTGTTCTGCTATTAACATTAGGAGCATACCCAATTCCATATGTTTCAAAAAAAGGAAATAAAATTTTTGCAAAAATAGGAAGTTCATGATCTTTTGTAAAGTCAAAAATCAGGAATAAATCTTTTTTGTAATGGGTGTCTTGGTAGACAATATGGGTACATGTCCACATGTAGTTATATTTGCCTAAAAAATTGTAAAACTAAAATTTGTGACGTTGAATGAAAATGAATTGACCGCATAAATTTTTTAATTGGTTTTCTTGAATTATTGTATGATTGCAACAATTAGTGTGTATGTTTTACATACACACTTCTGTTGATATTATTGATAAAAACCAGAATTTACTAACAAAATAATTAAATAATTAACATAAAAAAAATGTCTGTAGTAAAAATAATGTGTTTATGAAAATAGCCTTTCTTTTTTTTGCAAGTACTTAAAGTGTACAAACTGTTTATCTTTATATAACATTTTGATATAACATTTTCATGGATAGTACTGTTCTGATTGGACATTGCAGAAGACAGGCTTTGAACAGATAATAAAGTACTTAAATTATTAGCTACCATAAGTTCATCAAAAATAGATTGATTACAAGAAGCTTTCCTAAAATGCTTTTTTGTTTAAGTGTGTTAACATCTTTATGATTGTTTAAATTAATTGAATAGAAAGCTATGTACAATATAAACTGACATGATAAAACTTGCTGGATAAGCCATTGCTTGTGTTTTCTTGTAATATGAGATGCAAATGAATTTCAATTAGTGTAAGAACTTTTGCAATTCATGTAAAGACAATGAACTGTCAAATGAGTCAAGATGTAATTTAAAATGAAAGATAAATTGAGATAGTCCAGCACTTTTTTTTAAATTGTGCAATATCACATTTTTATATTTGGAAAATATTATTTATTTCTGATTTAATTTAGGCACAAGCTTAAAACGAATTTTTCTAAATTGTGACTATAGTAAAACCTTTTTGCTGCATTTCAGTTTATTAAGTTCATTTTAGTTCTCAAATGTCTATGACACAATGAAAAACTGAACTTTGATCTAATTTTTCTTAAATAACTACTTTTTTTTTTTTTTTTTTTTTTTTAAAAAAAAGTATTTTGTTTTCACTGACAAATTTATTTTTAGATAAATGAAAATGTAAATGAAAAAGTAGTCGAATTTTATTCTCTTTTTTGTCAACCTTTAGCAAATGAATATTGGTGTAGTCACATACATTTATTTAAATATACCTTTAATACTAAAACTAATTTATTTAAGTCATTTTTATGCTTTTGAGTATAAAAATGAGTTAAATTAATTTGAGTATCTTTTTAAGTAGCTCCAAATATTTGGTGGATGGTTTCAACCCATGCTTACCGCGCTTATTGCCTTAGCCACTTTACTTACAATGCAGTTATGCTCACCTCAAAGACCAATAAAAATAAATCTAAGTTGCAAGTTTTTCAAAATTGTTATCTTAAAGCTGCTGGTATTGATCCACATGATGCAAGCTACTAAGGTATTCTTCCTATTGAAGAACATCTTAATTTTGTATGTCTCAGCACACTTAAACAAATTTTAAACAAGCCTAACCATCCAATCATACTTAGTTTAAATAAGAAACAATCACTCACGTTCCATTTTCAAATTTAATACCAGATCTGCAAAATCAACAATGTATTTAAAGACATATCAATAAAAATTTATCCTCCACCTTCGTAATGATGCAATTAAACCTGGAGCTAACTCTACCCTTTACGTTACCTGAAATCATTCAATAGAATTTTTCCAAAATATTGTTCTATTAGTTTTTTGTAAACTCAATATTTATTTTAAGAAAAGACTATATATTTATGTTATCATATAAAATATTTAATAAAAACTAAAATAATATATTAATAATACATTCTAAATTTTATTAAAGTAATATATTTTAGATTGAAATTACATCTGCAACTCCAGCAGTTACATCTACTCTGAAATATTTTAACTTATATGTCGGTTAGAATTTTTTGTTAATATTTTTTGTGTTTTTATATATTACTTGTAACAAAAACTTCTTTTAAATTGTCAAATGTTTTTATAATTAACATTTTTGTTAGGTGGTAACTGCAACTCTTGTAATGCCAATCTTAGATGTATTTCACTACCAAATGGAGTCTCTTGTTTTTGTGACCCAAAAACATCTTGCACAGGGCTTAATCAACAATGCATTGTTTCAACAAATAATACATCAGCAAATCCATGCAGTTGTTTGCCTGGTTACACTCTTGATGATAATGGAAACTGTGTTTGTAAGATATTAAAGTTGAATTATTTTATTTAAAAAAAATTATAGTATATAGAGTTAAAAATGTAGAAATATAAATTGAATTTAATCAATTAATAATTTGGTTTTATTTTCTAGTTAATATTTGAAGTTGTTTTTATTATTTTTTCTTTTTATTCTAATAATTATTATTGTTGAGTTATCTTAGTTATGTCTTGTTTTATTAAAATATGTTTCTTGTTTTTAAACACATGCAATGTTCAATTTTATGTTATTTTTATTTGAGGATGTGAATATGTCCAATTAAATATATTAAACCAAAGTTTTAAAGTTTTTTTTGTTATTATCTTTGGTCAGATATTACAAAAGTTTTATATAAAATATTTTTTGAGAGAAACAGTGAAATAGCAAGGGTATCAGTACAGTAGTGGGCTTATATGTAAAATCTGTTAGTATATATATATATTGAAATATATAGTTTACTGTTGTTTACTCAAAATATGTGCACAAATTAAAATTGCTGATATTTGAACTTTCTTTAATTAGTCAAAATATTTCAACTATCACTAAAAAATTAATTGTAATATAAAAATAAATGAAAAGGTTTCAAGTTTTTATATTTTAATAATATACTTTAACATTTAGTAGGTCCTCATTTGACTTTATTTATATTTAACAAGCATTTAGGTATTGATTCATTATTACATTTAACAAGCATTTTGGAATTGATTCAACTATTTAACAATAGTTTTCTTCTTATCTTTTTTTTAGTAAATGATCTGTTATCTTTTTTTTTTCTTAATAAGTCAGTAAATATTCTATTAAATTCAAATCAGGGCTCTGTGAAGGCAATTCTAAAGTATTATGCCGCTTTCATCAAAAAAGTTTTTAGTTTTTTAGCATGTTTCATAATCTAAGTTTTTTAGCAAAAGGTTATGAATTTTAATTTAATATATTTTTATACAAATCAACATTCATAGTTTCATCAAAAAATTCTAGTTACACCATTCCACGCTATACAACTTCATAAAATTACTCTTCCACCGGCATGTTTAACTGTTTCTCTGTTGCAACACAAATGAAAAGCTTCACCCCTCTTTCGCATAACTTTATAAATATATATATATATATATATATATATATATATATATATATATATATATATATATATATATATATATATATATATATATATATATACATGCTCTTTCTATTTTATAAATTAGAAACATTAAATAACTTGATTATATTTTTTGAAAAACATTAAAAAATAATTTTTCAATGTATTTTAACAGCATTACATCGAAAAAATTTTTTAATGATTTGAAAGTCATTTCCATTAAAATAGTTTTTGAGAGAGTTTAGTCAATTAAAACTTATAAAGACCAATACAAGAAATCATTTAGCAAATATAACAATTTTGAGTTGCAAGTAAAACATTGATTAAAGAAAAAAGATTCCACTGCTCACGACATTGCATTGCTGGAGAATTTCTTAAAAAGTGTTTTGAAAGTCAAATTAAATGCTTTGGTAGGGCATACTTCTAAATGATTTTTATGTGATTGTAAATGACTGCTTTATGTTGAACTTTTACCCCAGAAATATCATTTTGAGTTAGGTGCTATTTTATATTTAATATGAGTATTTTATTTTGACATTTAAATTTTTTGTTGTAATTTACAACAAAAAAAAAAGATTTTTTGCATGATTTTAGACAAAAAATGCACAACTTAAGATAAAATGAAAATTTTTGTTTTATTTATTGAAAGATATTTTGTAAGATTTTAGAATCTTATAACAAGATAACTTGAAAATTAGGTTAAATTAAATGGAGTATTCATGATTTAGATATTTTTAGCATGATAGTACTGGATATTTTCACTGTTAGCATTGATATTTTAATTCTTTCTAAATAACTAAAAAAAAATTTAATAAAATTTTTGGAAAATTTTATTCAAAGTTTTTTCTTGAAATACAAATTTAACTTTATTGCTTAATTGGCTTTTTAGTAATTTTTTGAAATGAAAGGAATCAAATTGTTGCGTTTTTACTATTTTATTATCAAACAACAATAGAATTGTGAAATGTAACAATTTTTAACTAAAATGTAGTACTTCGTTTATAATTTTTAATAGAATTTAATTCCATTTACAATTCAAGTACAAATAGAATTGTAATTTTATTTTCAAAATATGACTTAAAGATGATGAAGCAATAAGAATAAAGTGCATGTATTTTTTGTGTGCTACAAAAAAATAGTTAAAATTGGTTAAAGGTTTAAAAAAGGAAAAGGAAAATGTTGTTTACTGGATTTAGGTTGGCTTAGGTCAAGATGGAACTTGATTTAAAACAATATAAATGAGGAAATACATGTTTCATTTTCTATTAAGTTGAAACAACAACTATTTAACCTCTTATTTGTTACAGGTATATTTCCTAACATTTTCAAAACAGCATCTGTTAAACCAATTTATAAAATGGGCTCAAGACTTGACTGTAATAACTACAGACCAATATCATTATTATCTATTATCAGCAAAAATCTTGAAAAATTAATGTATTCTCGTATCTACCACTTTCTTGATAATTCTAAGTGCTTATATGGCCGCCAGTTTGGTTTTCGTTTAAAAAACTCTACTTTCCATGCTCTTATTAGCATTACGGAAATGATTCGTGGTGCAATCGATAGTGGTTCATTTGCTTGTGGCGTCTTTATTGATTTCCAAAAAGCTTTTGACACGGTTGAACACAAGATATTAATTAAAAAGTTATACTACTATGGCATACGGGGTATTGCTAATAATTGGTTTTCATCATATATTGAAAATTGTAGCCAGTTTGTCTCCATTAATGGGTTTGAATCCTCCAAAAAATTTATCAAATATGGTGTCCCCTAAGGTTCTGTTCTTAGGCCTTTGCTTTTTTTAATATATATAAACGACTTGTCTCACTCTATAAGCTATTCACTGTTCACCATTTTGCTGATGATACCAATCTTCTATGCATAAATAAATCACTTACTCAGCTTTGTAAAAAAGTTAATTCAGATCTCCATCATTTGTGTCTTTAGTTAAATCGTATCTTTCTAAATATCAACAAAACTGAATCATTATTTTTCACCCTCCAAAAAAAATAATTTGTAATGATAATGTTAAAATTAAAGTTAACGGTAAAAGAATCTTTCCTTCTGAATTAATAAAATATCTGTGAGTATTTCTTGACAAAAACCTATCTTGGAATTATCAAATGATTCAATTACATAAAAAACTCTCTCGAGCCAATAGTATGTTATCTTTAATACGGCACTATGTTCCTAAACATACTCTAGTATCAGTTTACTATTCCATGTTCTCATCCCATCTAAGCTATTATTGTGTTGTTTGGGGGCAACAAAAAAGTTTTCTATTAAATCGTATAAACAGTTTGCAACATGCTTCCATAAGAATTATACGTTTTCTCCTATTCAATCTAACATCCAAAAAAGGTTTTCTGAATTAAAAATCTTACAATTTCAAGATCTTATAAAGCTTTACAACTGTCTTTTTGTGTTTGATATCCTCCAAAATTATCTGCCGCGTTCGTTTAACAATTTTTTCATTAAAGCAAGTGATACACATAAATACTATACTAGTATTACTATAAATGGTAATTTGCACCCTTCTTTTTTCAATACTGTCAAGTATGGCAAGCTCTCCATAAACATCAATGTATTTCTCACTGAAACCAATTAATACTTTTTATAAAAAAGAAGATTTTAACTAATTACCCTTTTGTTACTAACTTTCTTCTTATCAACAGAAACCTAATAAGGAATTTTTATGTGAGCAAATATCTAAAGAATATTTATGCTATCTTCTGATAATATTAATACACTAATTTAATATTATTATTCAAAATGCGTCATTTTCTAGGCTTTTCTATTTTAAAGTAGTTTCTAGGCTTTTCCATACGCGTTTTTTTTTTTCAATTTTATTTACTAACAACGCGTATTACGGGTTGCTTACTGCTAGTTTATTATTATTCCTTCAATATATTATTTAATTAATTACACTTATTTTTATTTTTTTTATTGTTATTGTTATTCTTTACTTTGTTACTACTACTATTTTTACTATTGCTATTACTATTATTATTTATATATCTTTGTTTTTGTTGCCTTAATATTAAATCTCCCTCTCCCTCCTTAATATTAATTCTCCCTCTCCCCCCTTTGAAAAGTACGTACGCTTTTGAAGTACCCCCCCCCATCTTCTCTTTTCTCTTTATGAGTTAAAAAGTTAAAATTTATAAAAAAAACATTATTTAAGAAATTTAAATATTAGGGATCGTCATTAAAGTACGCCGGGCATGAGTAAAGTAAGAAGTCATCAAAAAGTGGTGATATTCAAATATTTCAAATATTTGAATATCACCACTTAGTGATATTTCAAAACGTTCCATTTCATTAAATCAATTGCTCAATACTTTTCAAAAACAATATGAAGTATAAAAGAATTTCGGAATTTCTTCATATTTCAATTTTTAATTAATTAGCGCGACAACAGTCTTACTACGGGTAACAAGTTTAAAAGCTAAAGTTTTAAAGTATTGTTAAACTTTAAATATTAATTTTTGAAATTGTTATGTAAATAGTATTTTTTATATTTTTTTAAACTTTATTTTGTAAAAAATATTTTATAATAAAAATAAGATACTATAAATTATTTAAAAACTAAACAAACAACCCCCGTTTGCATTTATTGTAGCTTGTAAATTTAAGTTGTGCTTTAAATAGTCAGTTAAAAATTAGTTTGAAGGCGGAATTATTAAAATGAATAATAATGAAAAATACAAAATTATTTACCAACAAGTAGCAAAAGCTTTGCCACAAAAAAGTAAACAGGAGCAACAGAAAGAAGCTAATAAATTGTGGTATAAAGTCAAGGATAAAGAATTGACGTATGATTTAGTTTTAAAAGAACTCACACGAAAAACAATGGAAAGTAAAAGTCAGTTGATGTCTTTTTGGTCTAATGTTAAAACATC